AGCTCATCTGGGATGTCTTGTGACTATGGATGTCTGGTTGTGACTATTTTAATTTCCATCTCATCATTATATAGTTTGGCCTGCTTCTAGTTCCCTCCCCTGGAATACACATCACCTGTTCCTAACCAAATCTGTCCAGTCACAGACCAGACAAATTAAGCTACGGGCAATAAATTGGGGGGCTGAGCAGAAGTACATTCTCACAGGTCTACCTACTCACCAATAACAATCTGCTTCTTTCAGTACTGTAAATAAGAACATTTAAATGAAGATATCACAACAATAAAACACAATCCATTTGTTAACATGTTTTGTTCTTGCTGCATGGGTCTTGGAGAAGGTTCTCTTCAGAGGTCATATCAACATCTAAACATGTCAATAGCCTGACCACTGACTAATCTGATCACTGATACAACACAGTCATCAGTCATACAGGATCCTGAATGTCCTCCTTAGTTTACAATAATGTGACTACATGGACCAATAGATTGATAAGCTTTTCATCCAACAAAAATGCAAACATACACTTATATTGAAGAAATGGTGTCGCTCAGGCTATCCACATTTATTTTGAGCTTTTGCCTTACTTTTAATATTTGGATGGTATTTCTAATATTACTTTTTTATGTATTTATTTTACCTATATTTAACCAGGAAGTCCCATTGAGGAAATCCAAAAATTATTTTAGAAGAAATCTTCATTTTCATTGGAACTGATTTTTCTGTCTGGCTTTGGTAAGAGGTTGACTGCTTTATATGGGTTATTGATCTGATTGGTTGAACTTCACCTGTAGTAGACAGTGTTAGACAGATGGTTCTCACAAAATTAAGTTTTATAACTAGGTCCAAGAGCAATGACCACGCCTTGGCCTCATCCTATTTCTGTTCAAAATGTACTTAAGCACGCCTTATCTGTTCACTCCCTCCTCAACTCAGTTTCTACATGCATCAGACAAGAAATACAAAAAACGAATACCTTGAACCATGAAGAACGAGCTCATCCTCCGCGGCAAGGCCGATGATCCTCACAGCGCATCCCAGGACTCTGCCTTCCTCAACAGCCTTCTCAGAGGCCCAGGTTGTTTCAAACTCAGTACCTGCCCCTTCGGCTTCTCATCCATCTTCCTTACCAAAGACTTTAAAAACAACCTGAGCACATGCATCAATCTATCCCAGCGTCCTTTCCTTTTCTCTCATTTCTAACTTCCCTGTCCCATCTGCTTTGGCTGCCTCCGCTCCTCCCTTCCCAACAACGAGGACCGCTTCTTTGCCCTGAACCTCAGCTCAAAATCAATGTAGCCCAGCCGTTTTAGCAGGATGCCACAACAGCCACTCATCCATCACCTCCAAATCCCCAAACGTTCAATCAATCGCCCACGGCCCTCGCCCCAAGGCCATCGACAAGAAAGGCAGACCAGTCCTCTACCATGCTGAGAGGATGGTTCGTAACAATACCTGCTCCTTCTGTGGCAGAGCATAAGTATCCAGATACACCAATCAATATCAGCACTCCCGCCACTGCCTTAAAGAACCACCCAGATCGACAGTTTGACTACCTAATACAAAGGTTATGCAAGATTTCTCCGATGTATGCCACAACTTGCAGTCAGCCACCTATGAACCCGACATAGGTGATAAACTCTTGGAAAAGACACATTTGTGAACAGTCCATTTCCCAGTCCACCATTCCTACATTCGTAATTAGTCCAACCCAAGTCACCATCAGGAAATACAAAAAAAAATAACTAGGTCATCTGCATCATCTCCCAAGGTTGATCCATCTTGTCACACCTCCTTTACATAATTTTCTCTGTCCCATCCCTCCACAAACACGCCACACCAGATGATGCCTGAAAATGGAGCTAAAATTATGGCACCAGTTCCTCCCATTGTGGAACAGCACTTCATTCTTTTACGAAAATCACATCACTAAGCCAGAATACATCCAGCTATTCACAGACGCAGCACCTTCAACCGAAGTTGCCATTCCTGTGACAGTCGGTTTTCAGCCAAACAGGCGCTCAAATTTTCATTCCTATCTTCTTCCTCTGCTTCCTGCAAAACGTACCCAGTTCTCTTAGCAGCTAATATTTGGGGTCACAAATGGTCCAAAAAAAATCATCACCACCCATATCCGATATTATAAACAAGGGACAATCCCACTGCCTTTATATAATGTAGTTCATACGGAAGCTCACCCTAGTTTCAGCCAAGCATCCATCCATTACCCGAGCTTCTCACATCCCAGGTCATAAAAACACAGTCCGTCAACCATCATCCCTTCTTCCCTTTATCCCTCAACCCCTAACCCTCATCCCTTGAACCTCATCCCTCATCCCTCAACCCTTTCCTAATCCATTTATCCCTCCTACAGTACACCACATCGGTTTACATATATCTATTATGTGCAATAAACCTTTCTAAATTCCATACGTTCATTGCTGTGGTCTTTGTAAGTGAACCATCTGGTGCAGTCTGGTTAGTGGTGGGCAGGTAAACCCACAACTCATGATCCGTTGGAAGGATTCAGGTTGACCTACAACAAAATACCATGTGTTTGGGCTGGTGCTAGATGGGTGAAAGCATTTTCTAAGAATTATTTTACTGATCAAGCACAAAAATCAGAGGCTACCATCCTAAAACTGACCATATACTTTATTTCTCTGACTTTCTGAGCAGTGTCTGGGAACCAAAGTATTTGGGCCACCAGGAGCCTGTGGCTTAATTTGACTCAATACAGGAAACCTCACTCAGCCCGGACACGGATTGGCATTGACAGATTGATAGCTCGTTCTGTGGGTGGTGTAGCATGGCTGTTCTTTGTTAGAGGAGCAAATGTTTTTTGGAGAATTCTGATAATGAACAAGAGTTTGGTATGTTAACTACTGATGCAGCCAATTGGCTTTCAACCACACAAGATTGAGCAATAACAGGCCTGTGATGCCCTTAGATGTCCAGGGCTGCACACACACCACACTGGGTGGATCAGTGTGTGTCAACCCATCACCAAGACCTTGGGTAACCCACTGAACCCCATTCATGGTAAGGATTGGGGAACATAATTTTTTCCCATGAATGAGGACTTCCCACTAAGAACAAGTCATAAGCTTTCTTTGATTAAGTCCTTGCCCTTTGTACACACCGTCCCATGCTACTACCAATTGGAAGGTTTAGTAAGGTACTCAGATTGATTCCACTTGGGTTGCTCATGGCTCTGGAGTACCAAGAAGGTGATCAAACCTGACTACCTAGAGGAAGTAAAAGTCATTGCAAGGTTAACGATCTGCCACCCCATCAGAGCCACTCGCCTTGTGCACATCTAATTTGATTGTGCCTGGATGCTAAGGGTTTCTCACTGGGTTTAATTGCAGGGTGCATTGCAGAGACTATTGGAAAATGTGGTTGTTGCCTCTGTTAGCCAACCCTGAAAAACGCTCTGACCTCGGCCTTGGAGAAGATGGCTTCCATCCTCTCTCTCTGTCAGCTTCTCTAGGCAGGTCTCCTGAGGTGTGGTGTCCATCATCAACTGGGCCTCTCTTTTCCCTGTTGCATGACAGAAGACAGGATCTTGATATAGATTACATGTTCTTTATTTGCCAGACAGAAGGTTTTGATACACAGAAGGTCCAAGAAACACAAGCAAACAAATCCAAAGGAAAGCTGAGGCTGAAGGCAGGCTCCAAAAAACATGCAGTAATCAGAACACCAAGGAAACACACATCACAGGGGATTCAAAGGGCTTTAAGTTGGGACATGAAGGTAAAACGACGAACTGGCACAGGGGGAATGAAATACAGGCAACATATAGTGGGGGAACCCTAACCAGACACATGGGAACACAATCAAACTGGAGGGAAATCAGACAGGAAGTGAAGTAAAACAACACACAGGAGGAGGACAAATACAAAATAAATGAGGAAGTAACACAAGACGGCGTACTAATTGATAGGATGATGGATAATGTTAACAGTTACTTACAAACTGGCTCCTCTTCAAAGCAGCTCCTGAATTCAGTTTAACATTTGTTGGATTTTTTGCAACTATCAGACTGATGGAAACAAACAACACATTAATTGACTATGTGAGCAACAGTGCAATGCATTCTGGTAGTGCTGTTGTGCATTTCGTGACACGGGGTGTCAAATCCAGGGCATCCTGCAGCGCAATGCCCCACCACTGAAACTCACAAAACTTTTAAACCATCTGTTAATAGAAAAACAGATTCAGCAACTTCATGGCTAATTTCTCTCTTAAAATTTTAAATGTTAAATATATTATTCCTAGAAATGTGGCGGAAATCGTTTATTTCACGCCTGATGACAGCCATGATATGTGGGAGCAGTTTGGGGTTTAGTATGTTGCTCAAAAACACTTCAACACGCAGCAGGAGGAGCCAGGGATCAAACCGCCAACCTTCTGGACGACCTGCTCTACCTCCTGAGCCACAGCCACCCTCAATTGAGTCTGATAAAATGAAACAAGCTTGCTTTATTCAGTGTTTAGATATGTGTTCTGGAAATGTATGTAAATTAGTAAATATTTAATTCTTCCTTTGCATATTTAAACATACAATTTAAAAAAAACTTGTAATACAAAAAATATTGTCTTGATGTATGTAATCTACAGAAGGAGGTTCCATGGTGATATATATTAGTGAACATTTTACCCTGTCCACCTGTAGTGTCATAAAATTGAAGGCTAGACAGGAAGTGACTTCAGCTCTCTATTGTCTCAAGCCTATCAAGCAGCAAATAAGACCCGAACACAATAAATAAGATTCTGTTATTTTCAGTAGTCATTTAATGTAGAGGACATTAAAAACTATTGATTGACTAGTATTCATTCATTCAAATTTAACCCAATATGAATGTGTTCAACATAAACTGGGATCAGGGTTCTAAAGTTCAGAAAATGAACCTGAATAGATCAAACCAACAATACATCCCCACCCATGACTCCCACAAGGTGAAACACCAGGAAAAAAGACAAAGTCTGCACAGTTCTGTTTGCATCATCTTTTATTTGCTGATGTGATTTTGTTGTATTAACAACTTTTACTCTGATAAGAAAGTTAATATTGATAGCAATGATTCAACAATCAGATTTTAACATTTTTATATATTGTTTATATGTGACAATGTTAATGTTGCATGACATAATGCATTCATACACTGCATTTTACATTTATTGACAGTAGAGGGAAAAGACAGGAAGCATGAGAATAAAGAAGGGGGGTGACATGCAATAAACGTCCCCGGGCACATTTGAAACACAGTTATAGTAGCACGTAGCTCACTGTTTGAGGATCAGATCATTCCAAAATACACATTTAGGTGTTTGGCAAAGTTTCATGGTGATATGTATCAGTTAGAATTTGTCTTCTATTCACCTGTAGTGTCTCTTAAGATTGAAAGTCAGTCAGGGTGCTGCTGTTCACACACTGGAATGGTTCTGCTACACTAAATGGAATGAAACCAGTATCATTGGTTACACCAAAATGGCTGCTGTGGAAATGATATTCCCTCTATGAAAACAGAAAAAGATGGAAAACACTCATTTACACCCTTTTACAACAATGATTTTCCTGGTTCATAACTTTTGGAATTTCAGTGGATTTTCAGCTTATTATGGACAATTCACTGTGTAGCACATTGTTCGACTTTCTTACTCACAATATTAACTACATCATCCACTACACTTTTCCATGGTTCGCCTATGGTCAACGCCAACAAAACATCAACTGCACGGGCCAGATCATCTGTTGCAATTTTGGGTGTCATGCCCTTCACCTCCTTTTTCTTAATTTCCTGCTCTAGGACTTCCTGTGCCTTCTTAAACATATCATTGGTGTAAAATTGGTTTTCTTTAACCATGTCTTTGATCTTGTTCAGGAGCTCTGACACATCACCGTTGCTGACAAAAGAATAGTACTGGTCACAGAATGCTTTCATGTGCTTATCCTCCATGATTGATATTTCAGGATCATCTCCACGGGTGAACAAGGCCATCGTGTAATTTTTGGACTCTTTACCACCAAACATTTTCTGAATGATCTCAATTGCTGTGCAATCTTCAGTTGTAAAATGCTTTGCCTTCAGCACATACAGGATCACGTGAGGACCAGGAGCAGCATATGTCATGCATTTGACTATCTCTTTCTTCACCGCAGCTTCTGTGAGCTTAGTGTTATCCACACCTGGAGTATCAACAACAACCAGTCTGTATCCATCTTTCTCTACTGTCTCTATCTTGCACTCTGTTGTTCTTGAGGAAGCAGACTTGAAGCCAGCTTCTGGATTCTCCTTGCCCAGGAGCTTGTACATTGTTGTAGTCTTCCCAGCTCCAGTCTTTCCAACAAGCACGATCCTGATCTCTGTTGGAGAAATTTACAGTCATTATTAATACTGAAAGTCTTACAGGACTGTCATTTGATTGTTTGAACCTCTAAAGCTATGCCATAATCTGACCTGAGGGTGATTGTAATGCAGAATAATATTTCAGCTTATCTGTGTGTTCATATTTATGGTGGGGTACCAAACAGAATCACTATGCAGATGTCGGTGCCTCATTTCAATGCCAGAGCTGTCTATTGAAATGGTTGCCCTATGGTGTGGACATTACAGGCAAGAGAGGCATCACTGGACATGAGTAACTACCATCAGTAGTTAACATTACAGCAATGTTCTCTCTACATGGCTCAGGCAGCAGGTAGCCTACATCTAGCTAGTAGCTACATTAAAAACAGTAAAAAGACAAACTGAACAGTTTAAAGTGTGGCAGCTTCAACCCAATCACACCCAAGCAGTGTGGCGAATATACATTATCTCGATATATTTGTACTGTAACTGTTTAGTGTTAAATTAGTCAGGTTAGGTTTTATTAATTCAGTAATCTTCTCTCTCTGCTACTCAGCATGCCTCGATTCACAGAATCACAAGCAGTTAGTGTTCCACAATCATATTGTAATTTTGCCCAGAATTACAATACCACATAGGACAAAGTAGTAATATATAAATCTTGGATATGTGGCTCATTGGTGTGGTAAGAGAGAATGTTGTGAAATGTAGCTTTAATGTTGTTTTCCTGAGTGGTGTCATAGAGTTGTACAATGTGTACATGTACATTTACTATGTGTGTGTATATACCTATACACAATTTTGTAAAATTAATTCGAACAAATTGTGCGTCATGAAATTGGTTCGATCCAGATTTTTTGAAAAAGTGACAACCCTGCTACAATTGTATTTGGCTGGAAGTTGCTAGTTGACAGGGTCAGTTGTTAAACCGAAACACAGGAGAAGAGTGCAGGTGATTACTACAAACTGAGATGAAACATTATCCCACTGAACACCTTATAAAGTAATCTGCAAAAACAAAAAATGGCAGTTATACCACATACTGCACTGTTGAGCCACCCCAAATCACTACAGGGGAAATTCCTTCACTGCAAAAGCCCTAGTGGATGGATTGGTCAATAAAACTACAGACTATAAGATGTGAGATCATTGTTCCGTGCTTGTTTCCAATTGCATTTTAGTATTGTTTTTTTTAACCACAATCATCCACTAACATTGACCCAGAGGTGGAAGTAACTAATTACAACTACTCACATTACTGTAATTAAGTCATTTTTTCAAGCCTGTCATTTTACTCTTACTTAAATATGCATTTACTTAGCTATTTTCAAATCATAATTTACTGAGTAGGTCTGCAATTCATATCCAAACCTTTCATCTGCGTTTTTGTAGCCAATCACCAGGGACAGGGAAGCACTGAGAAGCACTGCCCACCGCTCATGAAAACACTGTGGGCCTTGGAAAACCAAGAAACGCTGCACCAGTCAAAGGTTTGGAGAAGTGACCACACTGACTGAGCAGTGACAGTGACTCGTAGTGATTCAGGGACCTTAGATTTGGAGAAACAGAAACCAAATGCAATGCAAATGAACAGCCAGGCCCTGGTCTATCTGGCTGTTTGTTTGCATTGGGAGAAATTTATACTAAATGCATGAGTTCTGCACAGGTTCAAAAATCTTTTTTAATAGCGTTTAACAGACAAATTGCCTGCGACTATTCCAGTCATACCTTTTATTATCAGAAAAATAATTTAAATAAAAAATCTTTTTTTTTCTCTCTCTATTGAATGCCTGTTACTGATAACTGTGCATTAAACACCAACCATTAAAAAGTAACTAATACTAAAAAGTTATTTTTGAAAAGAGTATCCTGAAAAGAGTTAAGTATTTTCTAACAGCAGTAGTTTGACTTGTAGTTGAGTAATATTTCAGTAATGTAACAGTACATCTACTTGAGTACAGATTTTTAGTACTCTTTCTAACGCATTACCCACATTATTATTATTGTAGCTATGATGGCGAAGGTCTCCTTACTTAAATAAATAAAACAGATTTATTTTTGAACAGTGACTTATAACAGACACAAATTATGTCCAGCTGATAGACCAGAAATCACTGCTAGAGGGTCTCATCCAGCAACACATTTTATTGTTCGATTTAAAGGACTGATCCAACCAACTGACTGTTTGGTGTTTAATGAACAACACTGCATCAGTAATTGCTGACCTGGCCGCCTGTTACAGTAATGTAAATTTTTTTCTATATGCTGATGATACTGCTCTCTTCTTGTCTCGTAAAGTTATAACTTGAAGTGCAGAAGACTTAAAATAAAAAGATGGCTTTATGGTAACAGGATGTCTCTTATATAGAGTTGATTATTTTTTAACGTAAGCTGCATATATATATATATATATATATATATATATATATATATATATATATATATATACATACATACTTCATATATATGAATTAATATATTTTTAATATAAGTATGTTTCTTACATACTAGTCAGCAGTCAAAGCCAATGCCAAGGCATCTAATGAACAGCTTTTTATATTAAACATAAATGTAGTTCCTTTATAAAATGTTGAAAAAAGGCATTAGAAAGAGTACAGCAGTACAAAACGGTATCACTTATTGGAACATGCTAAGTATTTTATAGCTGTCTGTATACTAAATTATTCTTTCTGCAATTACTAGTTGTGCAAAACTGTGTATAAATCATTAAATAATCAACCAAAATAATTATTCCAAACATTAATAATATCAGATATTGCTAAAAGTTCTATGATAAATTAATGACTATGTAAGCTGCACTGAGTACTAATTGCAAAGGTTATTTTTTAATTTGTACTATGCATTAGATGAGTGTAAAAGTTTTTTTTAAATAGTCTTCAAGACAGACAAGAAAATAGAGGATTTACATGTGATTAAAAGAATTTAATCAAGTACAATGTAATCATGGCAAACATCTATTTTATAAATAAAAATAAAAATAATTACTTGCTGCAAAATGTGAATTTTGTGATGAATTCCTGTGATGTGTAATACAAGAAATAAGGTCTGTGAAGATTATAAATTATTTTGAAAAGTGAAGGCTTAAATGTACTGATTGAAAGGACTTTGTTTAAAAAATTAACGATGTTAATGATACATAACATTAGTTATAATAAGAGAATAAGTTGTTGCTCTGCAGGTTTGTCAAACTGAGTAATAGTAAAATATATGAAATATACTTACCATTGTTGCTGGCCATCTTTGTCTTGTAAAAGCAGTTGATCTTTGAGTTCTTGTTGCTGTTGATGTCTTGTTGCTGTTGATGTCTTGTTGGTGAATAGTTGGTCATTTCATCCTTATATATTATAAAGTCTGTGTAGTTCCCTCCCCTCAAACATGTCATCTGTTACCTAGCCAGTTTGAGGAGAGAAGGCACAGAGAGCCAACCAGTCACAGATCAGAAATCAAAATGTAGCTTCAAGCAGCAAATCAGAGACCAAAGAAAACGTCATCAAACTAAATACATTTTATTATTGGGTTTGACCATTACTGTACTAGTTAGGGCCCGAGCACAAATTGTGCGATTGTAATGAAAGGAATTATTATTTTCTCCGTCTTTGACTGCATATTTGGCAGCCGCAACATGCTCGAAAAGTCAGGGAAATTTGCACAAAACTCAAACATGGCGAAAATTCAGATATGCAATTGTACCCATGCACGGGCGCCACCAAATGGCTAAGCCCTGCCACCCCGAATCAGCCCCCAAGACGCGTAAGGCCAACATGTAGGAAAATTTGTACGCATGTGTATTGTGATAAAAAAAAGCAGAAAAGCCTCAAGGACCCATACCCCAAACTAAACAGAAAGTCGTCCATTTTGGATTTAGTGGCCATTTTTGGCGATTTGCACACGTTGTATTTGAAAGAACTCCTCCTAGGGAATTTATCGGATCAACTTCAAATTTGGACACACCCATCTAAACACATTCACGATTATAGTTGTGCTCTTTACGACATCCCGTTGAACAGCGTGCCCGTGGCGTGGCGTCCCGTGGCATCCAATTTCGAACCTTCGCCATGAAAGACGGATTTGTCATAACTTCTGCGTACATGATCCGATCGCAATGAAACTTCACATGTCTGATAAGAGTCCTGCCCTGAACACGTCTATGTAATAATATTCAGCGCCACCTAGTGGTGAAAGGAAATGTAATTTTTATACTTTTATGTATATCTTACAGCAGATTGACCAGATCCAGCTGAAATTCTGTCAGAAGTTCCTTAGGATGATGACATCTTCAGAATTTGTGTAGAACCATGTTGCCATGGCGAAGCGGCGAAAATCAAATTTTCTGGTAACAATTGAACACTTTTTGGGGGCCTAAACATGCCCGAAAACTCATGAAACTTCACACAAAATTCAGTTGTGGTGAAGCCTAAGTTATTGTCTTGGTCCCGTAGATGGGCGTTGTGTTATGTTTGTTGTGTGCATCAGCAACACAGAAGAGAAAGTGACAGATGGAAAAATGTATTGGCTTATCTTGACCTGTCAGCCCCTTTCTAAGTTCCCAACACAGAGCAAGATGATTTTTGGGGCCCAAATCAGGGGAGATGTTTGACAACAGCTGAATATGCCATCAGTTATAGGTCCAGTCTGTAACATTAAGCAGGATCTATTGCCAGAAATGGAATATACACTGTTGCCCATAAAGTTGGAATAATTTTGTTTTCAGACACATTCCTCTTTATATTCCTATTTATGCACATCAGTAATCACCTTTGACCAGGTGCAATGATCACATACTGAGTCCCAGTTACCCAGGTGAAACTAATTCAATTCAAACGATTGTTTGGCTCTATAAAAGACATTCGCTGTGTTGTCCTTTTCCTGCTTAGAGTCTGTATGCAGTAAGTCCACGTTTTCAGAATTGGATGTATAATTTTCAACCAGATTTGACAGTTCCCTAGGTTATGCCTCGTCCGACACAAGTGGCAATATGCCAAAGAGTGCTTGCACTCCAACAGGACGGACACAAAATAGCCAACATTGCTGATTTCCTTGGAAAATCACAGAGTGTGGTCTTTAAAAAATCCTCAAACATCATCGAGAGGAGGGTCATTTGAGGCAACGAAAATCTCCAGGACGACCACGACTAACTGTCCACAGGCTAGTTGATGCCGTCACTGGGCAGGGCATCCCCAAATTCGGACAGATCCCGGGCTAGTTCCTGTAGACTCTGAGAAATATCGTCCCTCTCATTAAGGGCTCGGCCTAAGGCATCCCAGGCATGCTCGATAGGGTTCCTATCAGGGGAGCAAGCAGGCCATGGCATCTACTGCACCCCCTCTGCATCAAGAAATTCTCTCACTACAGCTGCCCTATTGCGTTGTCGTCTTGGTCATGGTGTCTTTCCTATTTTTACAGCACAGATTAATGAATCATCTCGACTGGTAGTAAGCCACGATGTCTTAACGCATTGATCCGTGCCAGGGGTAGCCATTCTCAATATTAGTGACTGAGTGACATTTGAAAGAGTAATATTGGCCATTCTTATGCATAAAATCCCCTCAAATGTGTTTCCTGTTAAATTGATCAAGGTTGAAAAATTTAAACAAAGCCCTTTATCCTATTGTTCAATACCCCCAATTTTGTTTAAGCCCGAATACACAGTTTGCAAAGGTTAATTGTGGTTTAATTTTCACTGTGATATGTTTGGAAGAGATTGATAAATAAAGCTTTGAAAAGATATACACTTTATCTATCAAGAATAAATCAAATTGTCACAACCATTTCATGAGAAGAAGTAAAAATCTTTTATAGACAACAATGTAATATTTATTTTCATTTTCATTAGTGTATAATAACCTGAAAATAAGAAAATAAGAATCTTTGCATCCATGGAGTTTGCCATGTTGAATTGCCTAGACAGTAGCCCAGAACAGTCAAACCAAACAGATAGAGCCACTAGAGTTTACACCACACTTCCCAAGGACTCAAGGGACTGATGAATCGTAGTGCAGATAACAGCTGTCATTATACGGACAAATACGGAGGAGAACACAATAGATGGCTCTTTATTATAGTAACTTAAACAACTGAGGTAATAGGTACAAATATAGAGTGTGTCAGCCAGTAACATCAGTAATGTAAATGTGGAGATGTGAGCAATATGAGATGTAAAAGTTGTAAAGTGAAAACAAAGCAGAAATCAAACAAAAGCTGAGAACATGCTGCTGCTGGAGGGGATGGAGCCAAATGAGAGAGAGCCAGAGCAAAGCTGGGACGGGTTTTTATCCTTTTATCCACCCAGGTGATCGAAATCGGGTTTGCTGCTGATGGTACCTTCAAGGACACGCAGGAAAAATAATAACTTGTACACCACATCAGCACATTAGCATTGGTCAGGGATTGTCACACAGCACACACTCATGGTTTTGCATTCAGTTGCCCATGCAACACATAAACAACACTAAGGCAGGGTAAGACTGGGCCACAGCCTCACTAAGAAATTACTAGACATCTTTAGCTGTGTTCCTTTTTCCCTGGTTG